TCTTCTGCGCATTGGAAGGTAATAGCAACACTTGAAAAAATCTTGTCCAAGTTCTGGGAAGAGCTCTGGATGGCTGAAACTATTGGAAGTAAAATAGTATTGAATATTAGGAGAATCAGAGGTCTACTTTCTGTCATAAGAACACGTGAAGGTATCAGTTCTGAGAAGGAGAATAAATAGCTTGGTCTTTTTCTGTATTACTCATTTCGCAATTGGTCTACGAACCACTGTGGAACAACAGATTGACTGATGCACTGAAAAGGCAGCAAAATGCACAATTTTTAACTGAAGGTAGATTCTGCCTCATTCTTGTAACCACTCGTTTATACATTTCAAAGCTTTCATTACCTAATTTGTAACAGAGGCTATAAAAGAACTTAAGCACCATTACAGAAAAAGTGGGAATTCCACAGGCCTTCTCCTGCCTTATTTTCAGTTACCTCATTCAGGTCAAGCAAACTGTGCAGACAGAAACTGGTAATGTCATCTCAGGGGGCTACCAAAATCAGGGCTTCCCTCTGCAAACTCAGACCCTGTAACTTAAAAGGCAAGGAGGATGTTGATGCAACATGCTGCAATTTTTTCTTCAGAGAAAAGTCGTGATACTGTCTATCTCTAAAGTAACTGTACTAATTTATATCTGTGAACACAATAAACCTGGTAGTTTTATCAAGACAGTCCTTAAAACAATTTTTGTCTAATTATCATATTCTCTTTATATCCAACCTCCCTAGTAATCTCTTCTAAATTCATTACATACTCTTTCTGCCTTTCTTCTACTTCATGGCACCATATTTTAAACAGGATATTATTTCACCAAAATAAGCCAATTTAAAGGGAAAGTAAACAAACTGACATAATGAAACAGGACCAAGTAATTTGAAATGAATTGGTAGCAGATATGCATCATTACAGCCTATCTGGGCAGCAGAGAAAGCCATGGGGAGAAGCTGGCTTTGCTTTCATCTTTACAGAAAAAATGCAAAAATAAGTTTGGAAAAGTACCTTTTTCCTGAAAAGGCTATGGTGGCCCTTTGGCTGCTGAATAAGAGTCTCCATAACATCCACATTACACTCTATATTTTGGTATTAAAAATTAGCTCTGCAGAACACCCAATACTTCACTTCTAACTCTTTTCGTTATTACACAAAACTAGCATGTGAAAGCACAGGAAAGCTTTTACAGAGAACTCTTGCTGTTCTATTATCATCTGAGACAAAAGAGATGTGGCAACTTTTATGAGGGCTGCCACAGAATGTGATGGATACCCAAAACTTTACACATTTACTCGAAAAACACCAAGCAGTTGGTGTTCATCTGTACAAACAAAATCATTTCTCTAAATAAAGCAGACCTGCTGTTCAAAGCTCTTCGGAAGCTGTGACAAAGGAGCTTGCTCCATGCTCATGAAACAGAATGAGACTCTGAATTAGCAAAATACATGTGTAGAGCCACACATAGTGTCAACTATACCATAAACTGGATAATGTGTAGAGGTAGCCTAGATAAGCAAAACATTTGCAGTAATAAAATTGCTCGGTATGATTAATTAGCAGCTAAAGCAGCTCTCAGATGGCAGGCAGTACAGTCTAGAGACTAATACCACTATTAAAAATGTCAGAAGAACAGATATTTAATTTCTGGCTCCAGTACAAACCTACTGTCTGATATCTAACCAATCACTTCCCTTCTCTCTACTTCAAATTCCTTAAAACTGATCAGAGATTTAAACAAAAAAATTGTATTTAAACTGACAGATTAAAAAGCTCTAGACAACCCCAGAGAGAGTCCAAACAAGAAGCATGAAAACAATCTGAGGGCTGGAGCCCCTCTCCTACAAAAACAGGCTAAGACAGTTTGGGTTGGTCTGCCTGGAGAAGAGAGGAGCCCTTATAACAACTTTTCAGTACCTAAAGTGGGCCTACAAGAGAACTGGAGAGGAACATATAACTGGAGAGGAACATTTTTACAGGGACATGTAGCGACAGGACAAAGAGGAAAGGAATTAAACTGAAATTGGCTTGGTTTCTATTAAATATAGGGAAAAAATTCTTTACTGTACAGGTGTGAGACATTGGCCCAGGTTATCCAGAGAAACTGTGAATTCCTGGAAATTCTAAAGGTCAGGCTGGATGGGGCTTTGAACAATCTGCTCTAATACAAAGTATCCCTGCCCATGTGGCAGGGGGTTTGGAACTAGATGATCTTTAAGGTCCATCCCAATCCAAACAATTCTATGATTCTGTGAAATCAGAATATCATTATTACAAAGCAGAAAAGCATCTTAACATATGAACAGACTTTTGCAAAGCTTTTTTACCACTTAGAATCACAGAATCCCAAAATTGTTAGGGTTAGATCATCCAACTCCTTCTGAAGATCATCCAGTCCAATCCTCCTGCCAAGGCAGAGCCACCTGGAGCAGGTGACACAGGAACATGTCCTGGTGGGGTGTAAATGTCCAGAGAGGGAGATTCCAAGACCTCCCAGTGCTCTGAAAAATCTCAGTGTAAAGAAGCTAATCCTCATGTTGAGGTGGAATTTCTTGTATTTTGGCTTATGGCCATTGGCCCTTGTCTGGTTGTTGGGCACCACTGAAATGAGTCTGGCATCATCCTCTTGGCACCTGCCTTTGAGGTATTTATATTTACTAATGAGATCCCCTCTCAGTCTTCTCTGGACAAAACAGGCCCAGCTCCTTCAGTCTCTACTCCTAGGAGAGATGCTCCAGATCCCAAATAATCTCTGTGGCCTCTGCTGGACCGTCTGCAGTAGCTGTTTGTCTTTCTTATACTGAGGAGCCCAGAATAGAACACACAGATGGGGGGCAAATAGAGGGGCAGGATCACCTGCCTCAACCTGTTGGCCACATCCTTCCCAATGCACCCCAGTATCCCGTGGTCCTCCTGGCCACAAGACTACACTATCAGCTCATGGTCAACTTGTCATCCACCAAGACTTCCAGAAACGCTGCTTTAAATCCAAAAAGCCGTGTGGCAAAAAGCACTGACAGTTGAAGACATTTCCAGACCACTGAAAATCCAGACCTGTCAACTAATGTCTCACTTGCATCTGTTCAGAATGCCTCCACCTCTCCCCATAAAGGCTCATTAGGCTAAAGATGAAGCAACGACAGGAAAAAGGTGTCATATGTTTTATTTATTTTATAGCATCTTACTACTCATGAGATACACCTTACAAGCTAAAAATGCAGCCCTAGGTTCACTCTCCTGGCCTATAGATTGAAGCATTTGATACTTGCTCAGACTGCTGCTGCTATTGCAGATACTGCTGGCTACCTCAGCTGTCTCAAATAAGAAAGCCCAGGGATAAGGTTTCTAGCAAACAAGCAAAATGCTCTTGCTCATTATCCTTGAACAGTCACAAGGAACATCTACATGCAAGGAAGTCTATTCCCCTTTAGCAACCCTGATTAACCCACTGCCATCCTTTAGGGGCATCCTTTATGCCTTGGCCCAAGTTTACTCTTTATTACTGCTTGCTTCTCTTCTTCCCCCTTCTTTCTTTCCAGACCTTCCCCTGCCACCCACCCTAGCCCCACAGTGCATCCACCACTCTTAAAATCAGTTTTGGGTCTTAATCTACAAAATTTACTTCCAGTCTGTCACTCTGAGTATGTTTCTTGATGAGCTAATGAAAAGTTGCTGAAGAGAACATTATTTCTTTTGTCTTCCATCAGACTTGAAAGGAGCTCGTGATAAGAACTACTGCTTAGCTAATGTATAAATGTGTAACAAAGAATAATCTGTCCCCTCAAAGCCCCAACCATCCATAAAACCAATATACACATCAAATAGAGGAGGATGACACAGAGCAAGAAGTGTGAGCTGTTCTAAGAAAAGATAATGGATTGAACAGCAAAAGTAGCAAAGAAGCTCTCGCCACAGACACAGTCATGGACATCTCGCCACAGTCTGGACTTCTAAATTTCCTGCTTCATGTAAGTGACTGGCTCTCCAAGGCAGGAAAATTTAGTGAAGCATTTTTCTGCTTCAAAAGATTGAAATACACTATATATATATAGTAATCAGAATGAAACTAATTTAAAGAAAAATGCATTATTTTTATTTTATATATGTTCCCAGTGAGAGTGCTCTGAATAAATGGCAAAAGACTGGATGTGTAAAGATTACACATGATTTTAGGATACCGTATCACTGACCAGCATGGGACTGGCACAGCGCTATTCTGCTACAGCTAATCACAGGAATATTCTTTGGAAGAGAGCTCTGAAGATTATCCAGCCCAAGTTCCATCTCAAAAGGGGCGCCAAGTCCAACACTAGGCTGCCTGAATCATCATTCTCTCCTTTCCTCTGGATCATGCCTGTATGCTGGCTGAATACCAACAAGCATCCCCCCCATGCACCACTTACAGACAAAACCGTAACAGTACCTGCATGGAAGGAAAGAGGTGAACTGGAGGGCTGTCTCCTTCTCAGTGTGTGAAATGCCTGACACTTAAGAGTTACAAGGAGCTGCAGATCTGGAATCATACCCTGGTGGCCACAGGGCACATACTGAAGATGTGCATTATGTACCTTCAGCACACAGTGAATTGTACTGGTTCTAGGCCAGTAAGAGGGAAGCATAACTCAGTAACATGACTAATCTAGCTCTGAACGGCTTAAATATGCTTTTCATGTTTTGACTGAAAGTATTTACAGGTCTGGGGTGCTGCCTCTTTGAAGGCACATGGATGAAGGATTCCAACCCTATATAGATAGGGCCTCAGCTATATAGCCAAAGAAGAAACAAGAGAGTAACCTGTTCATCATTCCAAATGTTTACCATTTGGGAAACACCGCTTTCTGCACCACCTTTTCCAACACTTTACTATCACCTTTTGAAATCCAGATGCCTCAAAATGCTCCCTTCTTCACTGCAAATTAAGTTCTTACTGTGTTGGCCACCTACTCTGACTTATGTTCACACTGGCCTTCTGCCTATTTTTTAATGCTCATCTTTCACTACTTTACCTTGTGATCAGTATGGCTGCATCAACTGAAGTCATGTCTTCTCCCCAGCTTGTTGACATTTCTAAGTGTATATCATTCTTCTTGCCAAATTCTTCATGCTGCCATTTACAAAAGCTTTCCAGCATTTTTTCTCCATGATGTCCAATATACATATCTGCCTGGAAATAATAATGTTATTAAAATAAGAATTCTATAAATAGAATTTGTAACCTTTTTTACTGAGCTAGTAAAAATATTCTGCTTTTTATGGCATAATACGTTCATGGCAAAACAACTCAAACTTCAGGTGCAAAGACCATCTTCCTCACATGTTAAAGATACAAATGAAGACAGTGCATTTAGAGTGTACATGAATATGTTCACCAAAACCTAGTCTTATTTATTTGCTGATTTCTCATTATCCATGGTGAGGAAAAGTATAATGATGTTAAGATTCAGAATTTGAACATGAAATGAGATTACTCCAACTGCTGAGAGGAGCTCGAGAAATAAGTACTTACTTACTGGCTGGAAAATTATAACATTTTAGATTAGAACTGTTGGTAAGGGAATCCCATCTCCTTATGAACTAAGTGCTATATCACCTTTTGTTTGTCTAGGGATTAAACAACAAAGAACATCAGTTGTCCTTCTACAATCCAGAGGACTTAAAGGAGATTATTCTTCTGTTGAGATATGTGAATGCACGAAAAGCAGAGCAGAAGCAGATTTTGCTAAGATCTGTCTGATTTCCATGTGGAAACTTTAATTGACTTTTAATTGCAAGCATAGAAAAGTCTCAATACATGCAGCACATAAATTAGGAGAAGGTCAATCTTTATTGAGGTTGCTCATCAAAAAAATAAATAATATACGAAAGCTAACCAAGGGAATTTTTTGGCCAATAAAGTTCATGAGTATTGCAAGCTTTTGAAGAGGAAAAAGCTAAGTAGCATTACCCTCTATGGGCTAAGACAAATGTCATAAATACCTACTGGAGTCTCATGAAGAAGAACAAGTTTAGTCACCCGAAGATTTACTTGTAATCCTAGACTCTTGTGCTGGAAAAGATTAAAAACCTAAAAGACAAAAAGAAAAATAACAAATAAAAATATGAACTTCTATTGCACCTATGCTAAAACTAAGTGAACCCCAAGGAACCTCAGTAGCTCTCATAATCAATTGTGACTTCTTTTATTTTCTATAATCTGAACAGAACATTAAGATAACGTACTGTGCTGGTCTTCTGAAGTGAAAACAAAGCTTAGGCAATATTCATTCTGGGAACATGAAAAAAGTCCTTTTCCTCTCAATGGCCATGATTACTTTATAAGCTGTGCCCTGTTTCTCAAAAAATTTATACACACATTTAATACTCTTCACATGAAAATTTCTATTCAGTTAAATCCATGATCTTGGACCAAGTGGTCTGAATCAACATCTAACTCTCTAATTATGCTCCTTCTTTAGAACAACCTTTCCTGTTGTTGTTCCTAATCTGTATATTACAGATGCTATTTTTCACTGCTTTAGGTGCTAAATGAGTGCACTACAGCTCCAGATAGAACTAGAGGGGAATGTAACTGTCCAAGTTCTTTCTTTTTTTTCCACCACCACTGATAATCCCTTTCCATAACAATATCATGTCTTCATAACAAGCACAGGTTACCAGAAACCATTCAATATCCCAACCTTTCCAACAACACTATGGGCTCCTAGCCAAAAAGTTATTTTGTTCTCTCACTTCCAGACTTCCCTGAGATGTATGATCAGACAGCACAAACTGCAGCACCGGCTTTTCTGCTACAAAACATATGGATTGTCTTGAGAGCGTACTGATGGCCCTGATCTGACCGTGCCTTATAGGTGTGTTCAGTCAGAATCAACAGAAGGAGCAATGAAATCAGCCCACAGTGTATGCATTGTTGGCAAAACATCAAAATTACCTTAAAATTTCCTACCATGTTTAAGATGGTCAGAATAAATCTTCTGGCAGCATCTGTTCCATGATATGAAACCATAGCTGGATCTGCCACCACAACAGTTTCAATGTTGTATTCCTGAGGTAACTTGTAAGAGTATCGTTTTCCTCTTCCACTTTCTGACATTTTTTGAGTCTTGGATTTTCTTTTATCTGTAAACCAAAACAGTACTTGAGAAACTCATCCTTCAAACTACCCCTGCAGTAATTTTTTGAATATTTTATCCTTGGTTATGTTTCATATGTCTCATTATGTGGAAGGCTGTGGACTTTAATATACTATGCTTATTTGCCACTGTCAAAACTATGGGTCACACTGAAGGTCTCTATTATGTATAAGTATTAGATTATACCTAGAAAACAGAAATTTTATCCATCTTTTCAAATAAAGTCAGAAAGATTATCTGCATCCTTTCAACTAACATTTATAAAAAGTGTCTTACTTTATAAAATGTGTCTTTGGTTTGTGGGAGAAAACTCAACTCATGTTGGCTCTGAAGGAAAAATAGTCTCACTGATATTGCAGAATTTTTGTCTATCTTCATAAATCACAGAGAAAATATCTTGATGTAATTATATCTTGGCATAAAAGACAACAAATAGAGATTTGCCACAAAAATCATGTATTTGGTAAATGCATGCAACAATTATGTGATTTGCAAAGAGGAAAGAATATTTCAGATGAATGTCAGAGTGTGACATAGGTTTACTAGAAACAAAAAAGAAAATTTTTACTGACATGACTTCAAAATCAGTGCTCCTGTCATTAGAAGCAGCTGAAGCAAAGTAACTAAACCAAACATGGGAAACAGGCCTCCAAATCTACAGAAAGCTAGAAATTGAAAATATGTTATGTTTATGGTAAGGTTGAGGTTATTAACGTCATTAATTTTCAGTTTCCCCTCCAAAAACCCAACAAAATCCCCATTACTATTAGGAGACATATGAATCCCCACCACCCAATTACACAGAAACAGTTCAAGCCAGAAGGGGATCTACATACAGCAGTTAGTAATGGCATTTTAAATAATCTAATTTTAAACAAAATGCAAAATTAAACTCCTTGTTGTAATAGCCATATTTTGTTAGATCCTCTTGGGAGGATGTAAAACTTGTGGGACTGATTTCATTGAAACCAAGTGAAGTTTTTTCCAACATCCACAGTGGAATATCAGGCTCCTTGTTTACCAAAATAAGTGATGTTTGAGATGACAATTACGTTCTGGAAACAATCAAATAATCAGAAATTTTGAGGAAATATTTTGCAATTAACCAATCTATTTTTACCAGGAAAGTTCCTGCAGTGTATTTTATAACACATGACCACTCTCCAAAAAAAAAGTCACTCTTCAGAACAGTGCTAAAAATGAACTGACAAAATCAATTAACACAAAAATTAAATTTAAAATACAAAATACCAGTGGAAGAGGGGTCTGTGATTTAAATATATGTGTAATATAGATTTTATGTAAATATAATGTAGATACATATTTTTCAATGCAGCATGTATAAATTAAGCACACTTTAAAAATGTTGTCTTTCTCTGTACCATTCATAAAAGATTATATATATGTGAATGATTCAGTCCATCCCAATTTAGTCTTACTGATCCCTCTACAACAGGTGACAGTGTAAGACTTACTAACACATTTAGTAAAAGAAAAAAGTATGTATTCTCTAGAAATAAATCTTTGGTGTTTGATGACCTAGAAGTAGAAACAGCTTATAAATTCAGGCCATCTAAAATGAAAGTCTTATTTAATCCTTCAGACACGTGCTTAGCCTTACAACCTCTGCTACACTCTAGCCTTACTCATGTTTTCTAACTGTGGATCTACAGCCTAGTTTATAAAACATTATGTGTGTTCTCATCTTGCTCTTTTGAGGATAAATTCTAATGAAACCTCACTTAGTATTTGTGCCAAAAAAAACATGTCCTATAAGCTATACAACTATGGCTTACCACACAAACATCTAATGCTGCAAGGGTAAGCTATAGGTCTAAGTTTAAAAAGTGAACTCATGTGGGTTAAAAAACATCTCTTACAACCCACCTGGTAAATCTGCCTTTCTCGTAGACACAGTGCACTTTCCAGCAACAGTTTATTCACTGTTCACATCTTTCTAAAAGACAGCAGCTACTGATTGAAAACTTTAAATTTAATCTTAGCATGTACAGAGAATTCTCTTTACACATCTCTCTATAGCTAGCAGTGCATTTCTATTCAGAACTGACAGTCCACAATGAAATACATCATTGTGCTAGACACTAAGAACACTGTCGTCCTACAAGCTGTTGTCCCTCTGTCTTTTGGGACTGTAGCGGATGACAAAACTACACAGCTCTGTAGACAAGCTGTCTGCCCATCATTTGCCTTAGATATTTCTCCCATTAATAAACCAATGGACAATCTGTTCTTGGCCAGCCAACCTTTCAATTTGCTGGCAGAAATCCCCATCACGAGATCTCATTTAGCTGAAAATTGTAGCTCTTTCCTAAGAACTTTAAATTAATGGAATTAGTAATTTTGGTACTAGTGGTATTCAAATAACTGCCACAACTGCTGCCAGATAACAAGTGAAACAGGCTTTAGGTAAAAACTCTTGTTTCTTTAAATACTGATAAATAAGTAAAAATTACAAAGAACTGGTTGTTATTGAAGGCAAAGTATGTAAGAGATAACAAGTGCTGCAGAAAACCCAGCTACATCAATAATGGATGCGCTAACAAGATAAAAGACAGATTAATCTCAAATCAAATCAAATTCATCTCAAAAATTTAATTACATTGCCAAAACAAAAAGTAAATTCTATAGGAGGGTTCTGTGCAAATAAGGCTTCTGTTTGTGCAGCCATGGAAAATAAGAAGATTCCATATCCATGTATTACTTTAAGCTCAGTAGACTGAAAGGAAAGCTAGGAATACTACATTACTTCAGCAAGAAGGCTAAAGATACTGCAGCAAGTACATTTGACAAAAAATAGGCAATTAAGAAAAAACAAGCAGAAATAGTAACAAACAATAACCCCACCCTAAAAAAATTTAGAGAAATTAAAATCCAGCTACTATAAGTACAGGTTGCATAAAGTATCTGAGCCAACATTAAAAAGAGGCTGTGACTGCAGGACTCCTGGACACCTTCAAGTCCTCAGGCACAAAAGCATTTCCTGAGTATATGCACATGCAGCCAAGACTACAGAGGAATCACCATGGCTCCCCAGGGGGTAACCTAGTCATACGGAAATTGTGGTATTCTGCCTGCATAGGGAATATTCAGGAGCTTAAGAAGTCTTGAGCTATACCTCCACTACAATTTGAACAGAGATTTAAGTACTTTCCTACAGAGTGACAACTTTTTTCTGACCCAAGAAGTAGGAACAAACCTCAAGTAGCACCAATCTCCATCTTATACAATCTCATAGATCCATGACCAAATTTGCACATTTTATTGCCCGACTATCACACAGAAACAGGCTGTAGAGCAAGAATCAACACAGCTCTCCCAGCTGACCGCCCAGCCTGTGTTCCTACTAAGTAGTAAACTTTAACTTCTACTTAGAAGTAAAACTTCTGCTTTTGACTCAGTGAAACTTAGCAGGCTTTTTCTTGCAATATTACATCATTCTAAGAGGAAAAGCACACTTGTATCTCAGGACAGTATATTGTTTATTGCCAGAACTAAGAAGTAGAAGAGGACTCTTCCAATGTCACAGATTCAGAGGGGATTCAAATTTCACATTTACTGTATCCTGGGTAAGAGATTTCTTTTTTTCCAACATGTCCCATGCCTTCCTTGACCATGAGTTCAATTCACTGCACAAACAACTTCAGTCTGGAACAAGTGCTTCAGAGCAGGTAGAAAAAAAACCCCTTAGCTTCCCAAGGTGGCCCTTTGATCTAATTACAACTGCTTCTCTCACATTTTTTTCTGTAACACATTTCTGCACTGGTTTCTTCAAAGGGCTTCATGAGCCATGTGCTAAAGAAAGGTGTGGATTGTAAGGTCTGTGTATGTGCAACGGGCTCACATACTTTAATAGATCATGCACATTCTCAACAAAAGGATACACATGCACACTTGTCAACAACCAAGAAAGCATCTGCTTCTGTCAGTATGATTCTCTCCCTCGCCTAATTAATAAGAAAATCACCCCATTCACAAAAACAAGTTCTTTGTTCTCTCCAAACAAGTTTGGCTGCGTTGCAACTTTCAATCCAGTCCTCAATGGTAACAGACAACAAACAATACCTTCTTTGATTGCCTCTGCTAGCTCTCCATGAAAAGCTATTATTCCCAATAGTGATCCTTCAACACCTCCAGCACAAACTTCTGATTGAAGGAATGAAACTTCATTCCATTCATCACTGGCAATATACATTTGCTTGATAGGTAGCCAGCCTTTGAGATCAATTTGGATCAAAACCAGCAACAGAAATACCTGTCTCTATTCTGACACACAAGCACCGTAGAAGCAAGAGATATGGTTGTAAGATAGGATCATGTTGCTGAGAAGTTGCTGTGTTACCAAGGTTGTAGTTGCTTTCTTTCACAAGGTTACATCTCTGCCAAATGCAGCTGAGACTATCTCAGTGCCCCACTTACTCATTGGCTTTATTTTTGTTTAACTGATCTACTTAGCTTATTATTTGACTTAGAATTCTCAAATACTTATGTAAAGGGTAATTTTTGATGCTTCTATTCACCTTTAAGGCTGTACGATGTGTGTAAGCATGCATGTGTATAGCATGCGTCTGTAGCATGAATATTTTGGTGATATTAACCAAATTCATGTCACACCCACAAATTTCTCTCAGCACAGACAGAGCTTTTAAGCATATAACTTACTGCAGTCCCTCTTAGTAAAATGACCGTAGCAGTGGAGTGAGGGACTGGTCTTGCTAGAATAATAGGATTGGTTAGAAAATGCCACTATTTTCACTCCCTGGCAATAATGTCCTGTCAGAAGATGCTACTCAGTTATGCACAGCTTGAACCATTTTGAAATTTTAAAGCTGGTGGATATAACGAAACTTTCTTCAAGCAGATATTTAATTGTCTGTTGACAGATTATTTATAACAAATCAGAGCTTTGAGTGTAAGATTATACAATATATAATATATAAATATTCTTATATAAAAGAAGAAACTGACTTTCCCATTTTAGAGCATAAGAGAAAGGGTATTTGATAATGAACATCAGCAAAGAATAATATCCTTCATGGACAAGTTTGCATCTTTAATCATTTTCATACCCATCACGGTCTGCTGCTTGGTCAGATACTCCTCCCCAGTTTTGCAGAGCATACATCATGTATACTCTTCATTTTTTCTTTCTCATTCCCATATACATGCAGGCATGCATACTGTGACTCACCTTTCTCTAATAGGGAGGAAAAGACAGCTTTACTTAATGTGAAGAAGTTGTGAAAATTTAACTTTCAGAAAAGCAGGGTCAATATAACACAATGCCTGGAAGAGTAATATAGAGCTAGCTGGAGGAAGTTATATGGAATTTATTTCATCCCACTGCAAAAAGAGCCTTTATTTGCTAATTTATCTTAGAATTCAAACTCTGGATGGATGGCTAACTACAAAAGTAATACTTCCGAAATGGAAAAAAAAAAACTACCACAAAACCTGTCACATTTGTTCTGTAACTATATAAAGTGGACAGAGCAGTATAAATGTTCAGGAAGGATCAGATAGCCATGAAAAAGTTTAGCCTGAAAATGATGTCCAGAAGGCAGCTCTCTGATCAAGTCAGGACAAGTGTCAAGAGTGTGATCAGCTCTCTTAGAGCCATTTCTAGACATGCTTTACAAATACCTGAGGATGTAGACTCGACAGCCTCTCTATGTAACCTCTTCCAGTGCTAAACATTATTGTAGAGATTTTATTTTCCTCATGGAAACTGAAATTTCCTTGAACACAAGTTACAACTGTTGTCTGTCACAGCATACCTCTAAGGAATGTCTGGTTTCATCTTCTCTCTGCAGACCCTTAGGCACCAGACAACTGCAGCTGCATCCTTCCTTTATCTTTCCTTACTGCTTGAAATAACTTAGCTCCTTCACCCTCATCCCAAATGTCATATAATCCGGCCTCCTAACCATTTCAGTGCACTTCTGCCATTTTCTTTGCATTTTGCCAGGATCTCATACGTGAAAAAGAAGCTTAAAAATATGCACTTGTTCTGGTTTATTTTCTAGGACAAAAATAATTTCTCACAACAACATTAGAAACACCCTCAGCTTATGCTGAGGTCAAAGGACTCTCCTCCGTCCTTTGAAGAATGACAGCTGATGATGAAGCAAAAAAAACAAAACACCATCATTCATAAAAGCCACTTTTTCTTTCTCCATTGAAAACTATGAAGTCATCATTGTGGGACAAACTTCTGTTGAAACCCCTCTACTTCAACAACTTGTTCTACCTGCCATTGAGGAAGATGCATTAGGATTGTTTCATAAACATTTTCTGAGTATCACTCATAGAACAAGAACACTTATAAATATCACTTCAATTCAGACAAATCTGGAAATTCAAGACTAAAAAAGCCAGGAAGAACGCTTTAACTTTGTTTTAAAACAGAAAATTAAGTACAAGCATTGCACATAGTGAGTGATTAAGCAGCTCTGATGACGGAGAGAGACAATAAATAGATTTTAATTATTAACTTGGAAAAAAAAATCCCCAAAGATTTCTACTTCCAAATACAAATGCATATTAAGAAGCAGTGCTATTCCTAATGGACAATTCCCTCTCCCAACAAGTGAGACTGCAGCCTTAGCATTCCACCTCAGAGTCCACTGTAGGGTACTGCTACAGTAGTAGAATAATCACTTATATTTCTGTCAAGGTTTGTAACAATTATTTACTTTTCTAAAAAATCTATTTGCTACATTACAACTTTTCAGTGCAATTTTTATATTACCTGTAACAACACCACAGTAGGGATTCTGAGAAGGTGGCTTTTCAGAAATTCTCTCCTCTACAGACCTTTTTCTTCTGTACACTCTGTGTGCATGTCCTGTCACAGCCAAAGTGCGATTCAGTGGCTCAATAAATATGAAGTCCTCATTAATCTGTATAAACCCCATCTGCAAAGGAAAACAAAAGGAAAATATAAGGTAAGAATTTATTACAGTGAGCACAGTCCTGCGGGAGAAAAAAACAAACAACCCACAACACTCCATTTAAGAAAACACTTTGTTTTAGTAACTTTATGAGCAAAGTGAGTACCTTTGTATTTTACAAGTTTTCTACTTAAATGAACTAGAATAAATTTCATTTATTTCAGCTAAATTTGGGTGGGTGGGTGGCTACATGCCAGTAGTACATGCACAGTGAAAAATATGGAATGTTAAAAGTTTACTTTGGAAGACCCAGGGGGTCATTTATGTATGTACAGCATGTACAGAAAAGTCTATACACTGGTTTTAGTATTTATTATTGTCACATTTTTAGATAATGAAATAACAGGAACAATGTAAGGCATATGAATACATCGTGAACAAATGTGAAGAGGGAAAACAAATCTTGTGGCACTCTTTTTACTCTTTTTCTAATTAAAAGAACCTGAAACTATTCTAAAAAGGCAGAAATTCCTCCCTGGTTTCCAGCAGTTATACCAGAAAAATATTTGAATGCCATTTAGTTGGTTAACTCTTCCCCTGTCCCAGCATACTTATACACACAAACACACATGAAAAGTGCACATCAGATGCATATCTAGTATTACAAGAGTGTACTCAAAACTAAAAACAAAAATACTATAAAACATACTTATATAAATACCACATAAATAAAACCCAGCTCAAACTGTTAAGCTGCCAATACACACAAGTTCCTATCAAGAGTAAAGCTGAAGACAGCAAGGTTTTGTGGGTTTTTTTCCCCCCCATCAGCAAGACTGACAGTTAATTTCTTCATTCTATAAACTTAAAAAATCTATTATACTGTTTTGCTACAGAAACAAAAAAATGTGATAGATCTGGCTAAGAGAAGCAGAGAGCTCTTCTGTAAGCTTCTATGTAGCATCAATGGACAGAAATGGAAAATAATTTTGTTTCTTCTGGAATCATGTAGATGCCAATATCACATTGGATATCCTGTCTGACAGATGAATAAACCATCCAAAAATATCCTGACCCAAGGAAGAAAACAAAATCTTTGCATGGCACAAAAGACAATTGAATTTAAACACAATACATTTAAAAGAAAAAATTCCAATGATCTTTTGGCACAATCACATGAAATAAATATGAATACACATATTTAATTTTTCAATCAGTTACAATAGCTAAGGAATGCTGAACAGATATCAAAAGGTCATCATTAAGATTGCACATAAACACAAAAGTATCTGGGGGCTTGGCTGTTCCTTTTCCTTTCTGTACTTACTTTTTAGGTTCAGTTCAGCAGGAGCTTTAAATGTCACACACTAGAAGATTATCTACTTATATATTGCTAAGTACTTTCTGTATACCTACAAGATATCACTTCTTGAAAAGTGTATCTTTAAAAATGCTACTTTTACATAACAATTAACTTGTCTTACATAGACAACAAATGGTGTGAAAGGAATTTTTATTTAAAAGCATAGTTCTCAAATGCTAGCAAAATGCATTAATTAATTTTAATTTGATTTTTATGTGTAATGCTGAATTACACTCAGGCATAGATTATTTTCATTTTAAAGAATTATTTAGCATATGAAAGATGTTGACAAATTGAATATAGAACAGGAATAGCAGCCCATTAGGTGGTGCTACAAGTATCCCCTGCCCACCAACAGGCCTTAGTCCCCCCATGAATAGACTCAACCACAGAACATTTGTCACATTTCCTCCGTCTCCATTCTCTTTGTTGCAAAATGAAACCAGGGCCTTAAAATGATGCTCTTCAGACTGCCACCATTCACCAGACTTTCTGAAAAGTTACGCTAGGACCAACATTTAATGTTTTCTTTCAACTCCTAGCATAAACTGAAGTCTAACTAATTAGTAGAGTAATTCCATATCTATTGCCTGTTTCCTGAGTCAGAAGTTAAAGAACTGAACAGTGATGTGAAGTTATATATATCCAGACGGGTAATTCTCAGACAAACCTGGATAACAACATAATCTCTGCTGCCATTTTGACTGCTTGAGGGGGGTGGGGGGGAACATCGTCTCTCCAATTTTTGGATAATTTCACAGGTAGAAAGTGGTAGATGGAACATTAGCTTTTTCAACCATGCCCTTGTATTTTCATAATCATTACAAATGGAGTTATGAAGATCCTTTAACAAAGTAAATACTGAAAGCAGAGAAATCAAAGCATGCATTAAAGCTTTTCAGTCTCAACACATTTTCAGATATTACATGTCAGAGCCAATTACAGCCTTTAGACAGCTCAAATGGAAAAACTTATATGTTACAAAAATGCACAGCAAAACAAAGATTAAAAAGATGGAAAAGCAAACATCTGCTTAATATCCATCTGGGATAGAACTGTGAGTTCTGACTAACTGACACATCTTTCACCAGTTTCATATGAAGAAATGCTACTGTCCACAACTACAATTGAAAAGCCTACCAGGATCCTGGACTTATCTCATGCAAAGGTAACATAGCATGCCATTCTTTCCTCAGCTTTTTCAGGTTTACATAAAAAAAATACACAAACTTAAATGTAGCACACATATCTCAGTAGATTTCAAGCCCAGCCCAATCTCATTTGGCAAAAAAAACCCTCAAATTTTGTAACTACTGATGAACTCACTTGCTCTGTATTTTATTTACTTTTATGCAGTAAAGAGAGACCTTAAGTATAGGGCAAACTTCAGCAGATGTGGTGCAGAACTTACTTGTAGAAAACTAACTTTTTTGCCAAATTTGGATAGTGGTAAACCAGACAAATGGAAACAACACCTTTTCCCAGCACCCTGAGTGGCACAAAGCAGGTGGGGCACAGAGGGTGTGCCAACATGTTACTCCCTGCTGCAGCCAACTCTCCACTATCTTCTGAAGCCAAAGCACACAGTGAGCTATACTCCAGACTCTACTTCTTCCTGCTCCCAACATACCTCCCAAGGCAAGTATCAACAGTAAAAATGCATTCCCATCAGACGCTGATAATGCACATGTTACTTAGTACCCATCAGAGACAAAATATGGTCACGTTTGCAGTATAAAAATGAAAGGTTCTCTTCATTGCAAAAAACCAAATCATCTTTACAAATTCAATATTTACGTGTTTTGAAACATAATTTGGTAATAGGCTTTGTGCTATTTGTCAAATGTAACAAAACAGTGCATTAATTCTTGAGTAAACAGGAAAAATCTTTCATTTGTATAACAGTATCCCCCTCTGAAGGTTTTTCTCCATGATTTTAACAATCCAGATTTAATTTAGTTTTAGTGATTCTAACAATTCTATCAGAACTTGATCTAAGCTGAAATACAACAAAAAGTCTCCAGCTCTTACTAATGCAAATAATAAAGCAAGCGCAAATAACTTTTCACACTGTGTAAACAACAGTGTAAGAACTTTGTGAGCTGTTGTTATTCAAATGCATTACCACTTTCCATCTGTAAGAACCTTCATTGCTGAAGGCTGAAGAAATGTAAGTGCCAGCAACTTCTGTCTTCGATTAACTGTGTTTCGCAGCCGTGCACATCATATACACCACGCTTCTCTAGGCAGTTTTCTCTACCTGTCTGCTCACTTCACTCTGCTGCATGGACTTAGGAGATATCACAGAGGGGAGAGTCAGTATTATGACTGTTGACTGGCTTTCAGCTGCTGACATAGTGATCAATCTTTTCTGGGATACTTTTTAATTATAGGGCTGTGCCTTACTGAAGTACATATACATGCGTAATGCTATACCTTATAGCCCCCATAGAGGAAAAAACATTTAGACTGTTGTGCAGAGATCACTGGGTTCAAAGCATGCATTTATGTACTACCTCCAAATCTGAAGTCTGTAGAAACAAGTTTTGCATGGCTTTTAAATCCTTCCAAACTCCTGTAATGCCAGTCTGGTTTAAGATACCTACTGCTCTGGATTCTTAAGAAAATCGTTCCCTATAGGAGGCTGCTCTCATGTTTAAGACAATGGCTACTTTCTTCAAAACAACCTGATGTTGCACAAGGATGCAGGAAAATATTTATGTAGTTACTCTGCAGTACTCACTATGCTACCCATAATTAAACAGGTATTCACAACACTAAACCATAGGATGGACTTGATAATCTCAAAAGTCTTTTCCAACTAAACTGATTCTATGATACACACAAAATGTAACCACAAACAAAATATAGAAAATTTATCAATTTTAAATGCTCTAATTTTTTTAAGCATCTTTTTTAGTAAAAGCCAAATGTGCTTCCTAAATGCACGGTAGTGTCTTAAAGTCAGATAGTTGGTCACTGCTATCAGCAGTGAAACTCATGAACCAGACAGGAGTCCCTCCAAATGCCAGAGCTCTCTGTGCAATGCTGGTCATCAGGTGCAAGTGACCACTTTTCTTGGCCAGCTACTCTCTGTTCTTGTTATAAATTCCAGCCAGCTGTAGACTCTTGGAACTTACACTGTCACACAGCTCTTTGCTTCTGCATGTACCACTATTTTCAGAAAAGTCAGTGCAGTCTCAACTACTGTATGCTTGACCTTTGACCATCAGAAGACTTCAGTAGAACAGACAAACCAATTGAAAAATGCTGAAATTATGTGCTTGTGGTGGTTTTTTTTGCACTAGCTAAAAATCACCAAGGTACTTACTCATTTCTTGCTGTGAGATATGGATTAGGAGAAGGACAAAATAGGCTTAAAAGGAATAAAGAAAGTTTATTAACAGGTCTACAAGAAACCAGAATAAAACCTCCAGAAACCTTTTCTTCCCCTTCCCAACCACTCTTTTCCCAACTTTACATGTACAGAAAAAAACTGGGATGTTAATGCAGTACCAACTATACAATAGTCTTTTCTTAAGTCTGTGTAGGGAGAGGAGTTTTCTCTTGTCATTCCATGGAGAGCTCTCCACAACAGTTTTCTAGTGGCTTTTCATTTCTATGAATGGCAGCTGCCCAGGCACAAACTCTGCCATCATGCCTTCCTCCCATTTTTACACTACTCAGAAGTGTGTTCATGGGCCATGAACTCAAGGGACACTGTTTTAAGGATGAGTTATTCAAGGGCAAAGGTTCTCTCCATCTGTCTCTGTGATCATCTCTGGAAACAGAGGTTTTCTTCTTCTCTCCCTGGGGGCAAAGGGTAATCATCAGCTTTCACTTCTCCCTCTCCATTCAAGCATCTCATGGGATCACAGCTACTCCAAAATCTGCTTGGCTTCACCAATGGATGCCTTTGCTCAGATTTGCAGTTTGAGTACTCGTTCTCCCCAATATTCTTTAATGAATTAAAGGAGTTATTTTCCAGAACATCCAGAACATGTTCATCTCCATGGCCCTACCTAAAGAATATTTCACCTTATTAGAGCATCTCCTCATACTCCTTCCATCTGAGGCATGACTCTTTCTCTTACTGACCTTGATGTTTTATGCTGTCCTCTACATGTCAATCACTCACACTTCTGTCGATCCTCCCCTCTCTGGGGAGGGGATTTAGCCTGCAGGTCTCATCTGTGTAGTTAAAGGGTTAAATCTGGCCCAAGCCACAGCAGCTATTCATGGTATCGGATTTCGGCAGGCCGGGGCAGGGTGGAGAGGTGTCGGCAAGTGTCAGCAGCGGTGGCCTGGCCCAGCCTAGGGCTGGGGGCCCCCCTGGGAAGGGCTTTGGTCCCCCCGCTGGGATGGGACCCGGAGGGTTTCCCGGGAGGGGCCACAGCAGAGCCCGGCCCAGCCTGAGGGAGGCCCCGCAGTCTCCATCCCCTGCCCGGGAGCCGCTGAGATCCGAGCCCAGGCCGCACAGGCCGCAGGGGAGCAGGGCCAGCGGCGCCAGAGCTCTGATAGCTTTCAAGGCCAGAAAGAAAGGGACAAGAAGTTCCCGGGCTTGGGTTTTTAAAAGGTGGCATTCACAAAGGTGATCTTACTATTCAAAGGTGGTGCAAAGTGCTGTCAGTTCTCAGAACTGGCCAGCTGTTAGCCTGATCTCAATCAGAGAAGAAACTCCCAGCAGCGTCTCTCAGAGAAATCACTTTCATGGGTGTTTTCCACTTTTCTTCCTAAATGCCAAACTACCACAGCGTTCCATCCCACTTTCTCTTCCCTTGCCCAGGAATCTCTTGCCCACTTTCTGGTTGACTAATCTGTGGCTTAAAAGATCAAAAGCCTGAATTTAAGAAACACCTGTGACAAAGGAAAGCACACCCCAACACATGAAAAGACTGAAAGACCATGTATTCTATGAAAAAAGTTAAAAAAAATCAGAAAAGACCACTTTCTACCATCTGGACTTCTCCAACATTGATTCCATCACCCAGTACTAACACAGCCCATGCACATTATTCAGAATAAAGGACACTGTCTTGAGGGAAAGACCAGCTCAGAGAACAATTGGCTGATTCCTCTAGCAACTTACCTAGAATAATGGAAGCTCAGCTTTCTCTAAAAGTCATAAAAAGCCATTTACTCTTCTTATTCTAGCCAGAAAATCAAACATTTTAAAATATATTATACGTCTTTTATGAGCTGTAGCTTTGCTTCTAAATTTCACTTGACTAGTGAAACAAACTCAGCTAAACTCAAACCCAGTTTTCTCTTAACATCATATGCAGCATGCGTTATTTTATTATTTTCATTATACAACTTTAATTGTCACTGCTTAGGTCCCTTAATATAGGAAAAATAAAGACACAATGTAGATTATACAGTGCAAATTACCTCTGTATTTTAATGTCTCAGATCCATCCACTCATGAAGTCCAGCCCCCTATGCATTTGAGGTTTTGAAAAATAGAGATTTTCTTACAATTACTCTTATAACACAAATCCTTTGTCACGCATTTCTTTTCACATTTCCTTGCTGCTACTGTTAAATAAAATAGGTTAAATAGAACTGCTACTCTATTATCTTACTATACTTACTTGAAATGTCATCTTTTAACATTTAGAAATCTTTTCAATATTACAACTTTATTGATTTATGGCCATTATTTTAGATCCATCTGATCCAGTGTCTTCACTGTTTTCCTCCTGGGCCAGCTCTCCAGGCCAACTTTCCAAAGTCCCTTGATACTCACTCTGAAGTTTTATAAAAGGTAATCATACTGTATTGCAGTTTCTACTGTATGATGACAAATACACCAGCCTTTGACTGTTGCTTGATGAAAGAGGCTTTACTCTGAGATTAGCTCAGCTCTTTAGAGCCAGGTTCTAAGAGCATCAAGGTTTGTGGGTTCAATCCCTGTATGGGCCACCCACTTAAGAGTTAGACTTGATCCTTGTGGGTCCTTTCCAACTTGAAATATTATGATTATGTAATTCTTCCTGTAACCACAAGTTAATTCCTCTCTCTGAACATCAGCAAACAGAACTGCAAGCCACATTTCATTTCACATTTTCATTTCATTGTAAACTTGTGAAGTTCAAATAAAGTTTCTATAACTTCACTTAATGTCCTTCACATTGATGGCTCATAATGATCCTGTGATCAGCAAATACACAATTTTTTTTCCTCCTGTCACTGTTAGCTAATTCACTAGTCTATAAAGCAAATCTATAAATGTATAAAACTAGTAAGTCACAAACAGAAGCAACTTACCTTTGGCCTGGCTACAGCGTTTTTTCTGTTTAATTCTTCTGTGCCTCCCAGCTCAGAATGTGCTACTACAGGAGGATCAAGTCTCCATGGATTGTTACTGATCTTACCTTTGGCTCATATAAAGCATCTGAACTAGCTTTTTCATGACTACATATCACAGGGGCTGGCCCTTCCTGCAACAGAGGGGTTTACCTTCCTTTGAAAATACTTCATCACCTAAAACACTGTCCTCTCTCCAAATTAATATGAACAGACACACTGAAAACCAAGCAAAATTTACTGGAAGTTTTTCTCTCACTCTGCAAGTTATATTTGTGAGAGTTGGACTTTACAGCAATCATAGGAAGTTACACCAAAGGTACTTCTTCCACTGAAAGTCTGACAGCCTCACATGGAGAATGAACTCTTTAAAAAATGGGAAAGCACAGAACAACAGACAAAAATATAATAGGATGACTATAGGTAACACAATTCCTACAATTTGCTACTTCCAATTCATTATCTATGGTTATGGTTACAACTGACATTCAGTTTTTATAAAAATACCTTTTTGCATCTCAATTTTCTAGCTCTACCTGGTTTTATTTGTCAGTCTTTCGAGCTACTTACTTTTCCTAAGTCATAAAGCAAGTAACATGATAGGGTTATGAAAATTGTTTTGCCTAAGTAATGTGCCCACAAGTTCATTACAATATCATGTATGTTTTCACAGGTTTTTCCTTAAAAAAAAAAAAAAAGGGAAATTTAAAGAAGTTTACTGAAATCAAATATATGTTGCTGTTTTCACAGATTTATTGCTTCAATAGCACATTGTAAATGGAGTCCACTGCACACTCCTATTTTGGCAACAGTTATCCTGAGTTATAGTTTAGCTGTAGTTTGTTTCGGTCAAATTAGTTGTGTAAAAACTGGAATGACCTCAGTGTTTTAAAACACAGAATTCATCTCAAACCCTTTAGAATCTTGCAGTAAGAAGGCAAAGAATAGTTTAAGCATATATAAAAATTTTCAAAATCATTAAGGCACCATAACTCAAATTTCACAAAACTAAATGAAGATAAATAGACACTGATATTAAGTGAAACCTGATAGTTCTTATGATGACTCATTCTAGAACAACTATAGAAACCTTATAAATAATTACTACCCTACACAGAGTGTCCCAGAACTGTATATGTGTGTGCTGCTCTTTCTCACCGTAGATACAAGATTAATCTTGTCCAGTTTGAGGTAACTGAAGTATCTTCAATAACATTTCATTGAAAACTACTTCCACAAGGCAATTCTAAGTTCTATTTTAAAATGCTTATAACAAAAAAGTAACAAATATGAAACACAAACTCCTAAAGCTAAAAGTACCATTTCTGTTGTATAGCCTTTTTTTCTAAAAAAACAGATGGCAACCAAACCAGCTGCTGATCTGTAGCTGTATCTAGCTACAGAT